ATGCAGAATTGAATGCTCTATCATATAGACCATGTCTTCTCTCTCGGGCATAAGTCTCACTACATGAAAAATATAAAATAATGTATGGTCACTACAATGACCAATTTGCAAAGAGTTCTCTGGAGTGTCCACTGCATAGCCGCGAGCGAAGCACCTTATCATTCGATGCAGAAATGAATGCTCTATCATATAGACCATGTCTTCTCTCTCGGCCATGAGTCTCACTGCATGAAAAATATGAAATAATGCATGGTCACTACAATGACCAATTTCCAAAGAGTACTCCGGAATGTCCACCCCATCGCCGAGAGAGAAGCAGCATATGATTCGATTCAGAATTGAATGCTTTATCACAGGGAACATGTCGCCTCTCTCAACCATGAGTCTCACTACATGAAAAATGTGCAATAATACATGGTCACTACAATGACCAATTTGCTAATGGTACTATGGCGTGTCCACCACATCGCCGAGAGAGAAGTACCATATCATTCGATGCAGAATTGAATGCTCTATCATATAGACCATGTCTTCTCTCTCGGCCATGAGTCCCACTACATGAAAAATATGAAATAATGCATGGTCACTACATGACCAATTTGCTAATGGTACTATGGGGTGTCCATCCCATCGCCGAGAGAGATTTATGGAACAACAGGAATCCTCATGCTCGAGATATCTAGAGAGTTCTTCACGAGAATTTTCAATGAAATTGTGGTATACAATCATATGGTTTTTATAAAACTCTGATAATATCATATTTTGTAGAATGTAGAAGACAGTTACTGAAGGATGCGAACACCGTGACTTATCTGTAGTATTTTTGTTATTATTACCAGCCATTTCGATCTGAATATTTCATCCTCTGATGGAGGCAGCTGGTTTGCACGGTTTTCTAAGAACGTCGAACGGTCGAAAAAGATTTTCCCAGTGAAATATTGACCTACACAGACGTTTTGTCATATTAGCATGAAAATAGCTAAAATTGACCTTACTAAATTTACATGCTGTTTTCAATCAAATATATGAGTAATTATCGATCTTTTAGCATGAACTTGTAATCCAACTCATGATCCTTTGTTGCGCAAAAGATGAGCTCATTTGCTTGGGTAATGGAGATTCTAGAGTCTTGACAAGTTCGCAATAGTGATCAATGCACCATTTCCGTTTAGTAAAGTATTTGCTTCTGAAGCTTTCAGGAAACAATGGCCATCTATGTGGGAATATCTCTTGAAAATTTCAGATCGATTCATGAAACTATTACTGAGTTATTGATCTCTCAATGGCATTCTATTGTTTTTGCGTATATCCATGTTTTCAGTAAAAATCATCTAACTCATCAACAACTTGATAGACTTCGATAAAATTTATATCGAAAATAGCCATAATGTAGGGCTACAAAATGAGCTATTGATCGACTCAAAAGCTCTTTCTATTATCGAGTTACGAAATTCACAATGGAGGTGGGCGACACTTATTATAACTTCGTTCTAGCATTGAGCAATTTTGGCACTGATGGTACCGCTGATCTACATTCTCTGTGGACTACCTATAGACCAATTTTCAGATGTTTAGCTCTTATAGGAACTAAGATCTAAGGGGGGAATACTCTTGTCGGGTACTGTATATTAATATAAAGAAAAGTGATTTTCAACCAATGGTACTCAATTTACTTATAGAATTATTTTTAACTCAGTTTAATCATAATTAATTATATATTAATGAAGTTCATTCTATTTCGAATCGTTTTATTTATTTATAACTATCTCTTTCTTACTCATATTATCAATCAACTTGAAATGATCGAATCGAATAAACTCTATCAACTTATGTTCTCTAATCACATTTTATTCAAAATAAATTAGTTAGCTACAACATTTAATAAAACATTCCCATTCATTATTAACAAGGGAATATGAATTTAAAACACATTCTACGAAATAAAATAAACACACAAACAGTTATGAGAAAAATAAATTACCGATGAATTTTTTTTCATTTAGATTTACAAGAATTCAAATCAATAGTATATGATTTATTTCTTGCTCCAAGTGAAACAAATAATATATAATTAAAATCAAAACAATGAGTTATTGTTCAAACATTACGTAAGCCTTTTTGAACTAATAAAGTTATGTTATTTTATAAAAAGTACATCCTATACGAAAAATTCAAATTTTCTCAAAAGTTTTTTATAATGATTAGTAAACAAAGGATATATTTCAAGAAAGTTGAGACATCCGAGAAACTTAACATTTGAAATATAGTGTAAAAAACAAAACTATTTTCTCGTTCAAATTATTAATGTACCTAAAGAGAAAATGTTTTTTATATTCGTTAATAAGTCTATCGATGTTATTTATCGAAGGAAACAATCGTTATTTAATAATTCTTCAACGCGAATCAATCATTTAAAAAAACTTGTAACGTTAATGCTTAGAATTGAACAAAATTCAGAGACAAGGTCACTGAATTTTGCAAAGGAAGTTAGTATTTCAGTTTATGACGAAAATCAATTATAAGACAATTCAAACTTAACATATCTTACAGAAAAGATTTACTTATAAGATTATGAGGATCTATGAAAGTGCAGAAGTATCTATCAATATTTTTGTGGCACTCATTTTTTAGTATGTATAGAAAGGGACAAATCACGAACTTCAAGACTTTACTCGACAATGTCTGTACTCTTTCTTCCTTGGTAAATTCTATCAAAAATATAAACCGAAGTTCAATTATTTTAGAATTGATTCTTTTGAATTACTTTGTAATTCATTTTTGTCATTCAATGTAGCGATTCGATTTTTAAAGCGCCTTAATTATCATACAAGAATATAATTGTTTGAATTAACTAATTGCGAAATATTTTCAATATATGGATCACTGTAATATTATTGAAAAGCATATTTTCGTTTCTTTTCTTATTGTCCTAGATAATAACTAGAAATTATCTGAGATTTGCGCCACATGTATTTTGTTTTACTTAACGATAAACAAAATTTCTTTAGTAGCATGAATAATAATTCTAGACAGTACTATTTATCTACATTATTATCGATAAGACAAAATAATTGGGTGGAAGTCTACCAACAACCAATATATTAAGTCCTTTTAATATTTCAATTTATCATAATATACTTATCTGTATCTTATAATCAATCGTCCAATATAACGAAAAACAAATACCAAAATAAGAAACTACAAAGGCTTTGACCTTGAAGTCTTTTAAAGTTCTATCGAGTCCCTTGAAGTCCACTGTTTCCGTCTTGATAAATACTCGAATGATGTGATCCTATTATTGTCTATTACTAGGGATGGAGTAATTCACATCTCAAACGCCAACTCAAATGAGCAAAAGAACTGTTTGAAAAGGTCAGTTCATATAAAAAAGAACTGTATTAGTTCGAATAGTTCTTGTGATAGAGATTGAATTGTTGAAATTGATCAGTTCCTGTCAAAATTACTGTTTGAACAATCCTTAGGAAATGAACTAAACCGTTCGAACAGATCAGTTAAGATCAGAGAACGTTTTCAATTCTATCTTAGATCCGAAATAATAGTGAACTTGTCGATTCCTATCTATCATCTTCTAGCATGATCTAATCGTCTTCTTAATAAGTTAGTATTCTCACATATAATTTGCCAGAAGTTCTTATATTGTAATAACCGTGACGGAATTGTATTGTAGAGATTAAAAAAAAAGAATATCTATATACTTTCCATACTAAAGACAAATAAAAAAGTAGATTGATAATATATTAATATATTTTAACAAATATAAATATGAAAGTTTTGAATTAATAGATAGATATATGACAACGATATTTAATTTAATATATCTTGTTCTTCTCGACTGTAAATGAACATGATTTTTCAAGGTTAGAAGATTGTGTTTGAGTGATATCTAGATAAAACTCGTCTTTATTGGAAAATAAATCCTTATGAAAAAAGAGAAGAGAAAAAAACAACTACTACTTTGTGTTAATATAAATTTTTTAAGTACATCAATGATTTGTTGTGACCTTGTGTTTATTTAAAATATATACAAATAAAGAAATTAATTACTAAATAGACAATATTAATAATAAAGAAGTTTGTGTACTTATTTTAAATGAAAATGAAGATATAAATGAAAAATTATTTCGATCAGAAAAAAGGTTTGAATGAAGATTTAAATTAATTAATTAATATTTAATTAATTTTCTTAAATAAAAGGATGGATTCTTCAAATAATTTTATTATCTCATTTCTTATGGAGAAATGTTCGAATATTTACAAATGTTTCTCTTAATAAAAACTATCCATTTCAACGAAATAATTATCAAGAATTAAAATGAATTTATTCATCCAATAGTAAACATAATAATTCAAGCCGTTATGTCACTATTTACTGTTCAAAATCTGGTTCATTGTATTATTATTTTACAATTGATGGAACAACGTAAATTTTGATTTTCTATTTAAAAACTAAATAAAAATTTTTTTTCTTATTTAGAACAAAAGAAAATAAAAATGATCAAAATTATAATTAAGTTGAACCACATTTAGTTTTGCCTAATGGAAATAATGAAGAATTTCAACAAGATTGTATAACATGTCAATCTATTTTATCAAAATCATTGGGTTCAATATCTGAATGATTATCATGTCTTCTATTTGCATATTATTCTGGTTATAATATGAGATATTTTATTTCAATTCAATATCTTTATAATGTATTTAATTCTTCGTATGCAATAAGTGATCATCCTAAATTAAATCCATTATTTGATAGTATATATATGAATCAATGAAAAACATTATTGAAAAAATGTCTAAAGTAATGGAAAGTCTTATCAACAACTGATCTTGTTTATAATCATGCAGCTAAAGCTTGTGGATTATTTCGAGGTCATACTGAAGCTGCTTATAATTTAATTAATTCTCCACATTTCAAATCTGCTATTGTTCTTGATTCAATTTTAATACAATTTACTCAAGATGCAAATGAAAATAAACTTTTATCAAAAAGAATTACATTAGAAATTAAAGAACATCATTTACAATTAATTAGACATTATTTACTTGATGAATTAATTTCAAAATATCGTTTTTCAGGATTTTATATTTGTGATATTGATTCAATTATTCAAATATTTTATTAACAATTATCAAAAAGAAATAATTGTCTTGAGAAATCTTTCTTTGAAAATGATAATGATATTAAAATTGAACATAAAAAATATGAAAGAATGAGAAGTAGTGTTAGTCTTGAATTAGTTGAAAAAATTTCTTATTTTAAAAGAAAATTTCAAAACAATAGAAGAATTGATAAATGCAGCATGTGATACATGAAGAAATCGTTTACAAATTTTTAAATAATTTTATGTCTGAAAAATTAAAATGAAAATGAAAATAAAACTATTGATAATTGTCTTTCATCATGTCGTTATCATTTTTTGCATATGATAGACCGAAATATAAACAATGATCTTTACCTTCAACACCATTTGTTGGAAATTATTTTTATTATCCAACTGAAAAATTTTAACATCCTGATCATATGAATCAATTAAATTAAAATAATATTCAACATCAAACTTATGTTATGACGCACGATGGTTGGGTTATGGTTATAAATGATAATCCACTCAAAAATTATGCTGATGAAGGTTTTATACTTTTTTTTTCTTTACTTATATTTTATAGTAAAAATACTTTCCCAGAAATGCATCCAAAAAAGGGTGAAAATTTTCTTCAAAAAAAATCGAAAAAGATTTTTTATGAACTATGTACTATCACATACTTTGCCTTAGGTCAGAATTTTTATTAAAAATTTTGTCAATAAAGTCAATAACTTATAAAAGATGTCTCATTATTTTTATATTACAATTCGAATTTAACGTTCATTTTTTTTAAATTTCGAACCATCCATATCGAACAATATGAGCATTTCAAACGTTCAACATTTTATGTAAATAAATTTAGACCTCACACACACTGAAAAGAGTGAATGAAATCAGTAAAAATGTTCAGAAATAATATGTGAAAAATGAACCAATAAAAAAACAAGAACTTCTCCTTCCACAAAATTGAACTGATATTCAACGCTATCTTTTAAAATGTAGAGGCTCAATGATTAGCTGCTATCCAATGGCCAAAAAAATATATGTACGTGAAAAACGTGAAAATGTATGCACACTATTTCGATCTAGACCGTCGAATAAAACAATCAACTTTCATCATTGTTCGATTCGTATCTCATCGTTAATGCACGAATACAGAAAAGATCTTGAATACATGACATGGAATTTTTTTCTTTATTTCTTATTTCAGACATTCATCGATGTCAAATACTTTATCACTAAATCGTCAAGTGGCACAATCGCAGGTCCAGCATTACGATGACCGTGAGCGGGTCGTAAACAACCGTTAATGATAAGGATACGGCCGTAAACTGCCCGTATTTGACCCGTTTGGTATGCGCCGTAATACAACCGTATATCACCGTGCCGTATACGATTAGAAACGGTGAAAAACGGTTGGAAAATCCCGTATTCGATCGTTTACGACACGGCGATATACAGCGCATACCAAACGGGTCAAATACGATCAAAAACGGCCGTTTACGACCCGGCTTGTTTCACCTGGGTATCATTACGAAATATTATTGAGAATGATCGAATAAGTAATAATGAATTATTAACCAAAGTTCTTGAAATAATACAAGGATTTTTGAACAATTTTGACGATTGTTGCTCAAAATTAGAACAACAAAATTACATTAATAAATGTGAAAAAGATATTGTAGCAGTAATTCAACAGCATGAATTATCAGCAGTTAGCATGAATACAATTCGTACGGAAATCAATCAATCGTTCGAACAAATAGAAAAACGCATGGAATCAATGAAAACAATCGAATTAAATGATTTTGATGAATTAATTATTGCTCTTGCTGATCTGAAGCAATCAATCGACAAAAGCTTTTCACGCTTAATCAGTGAATTAAACCATATGAAAAGGAATATGAGTGATTTGGCAAACAAAGTTAGCAAACTGGAAGTAGAATCCGAAGCAGTAAAAACACGTAGGTGAAGTTAGCACCATATTCGAGTAAAACCTTCCCATATCCGTCCAGGAACGTGTTCCAAGTGTTCCAGCCCGGTTCCAAGTAGAACTCGACGAGCTCTATCTAACGGTGACCTTGAATTTTCCATAACCCAAACCAATCGTGAGAAAAATCCAAAATACGGCTCTTTTTCTCTGAGAAAAGGCAAACCTACTTACTCAAACCTTCTCATATTCGTCCAGAAGCGTGTTCCAGCCCCGGTTCCAAGTACAACTCGACGAGCTCTATCTAATGGTAACCTTGGATCAGCCATAATCCAAACCATTCGTGAGAAAATCCCAAAATAGTACCTTATCACTATGTGTATGATTACTAAAACCTTCCCATATTCGTTCAGGTATGTGTTCCAAGTGTTCCAACCTGGTTCCAAGTACAACTCAACGAGCTCTATCTAATGATAATCTTGAATCAATCATAGTCCAAACCATTCGTGAGAAAATTCCAAAATAGTATATTTTCACTCTGTGTATGGTCACTAAAACCTTTCCATATTCGTCGAGAAGCGTGCTCCAAGTGTTCCAACCCGGTTTCAAGTAGAATTCGACGAGCTCTATCTAATGGTAACCTTGAATCACTCATAGTCCATACCATTCGTGAGAAAGTTTCAAAACACTGCCTTTTCACTATATGTATGGTCACTAAAACCTTCCCATATGCGTCCAGAGACGTGCTCCAAGTGTTGCAACCCGGTTCCAAGTACAACTCGATGAGTTCTATCAATTAGTGTATACGGATCGTTCACGATCCATACGCTTTCTCCAGAAATCGTGAAATAATGGTTTACCACCGTAAGACGTAGAGCTATCCAAACTATAGCCCTATCAACTAAAAGTAGAACTTGAATTTTGATTGTTTTTTCAAAATTTTTCTAAATGTAATTATCCACTCTTATTTAATAGATATTGTATCTATGCATGATTGGTATGTAGTTGTGTAGTACAACTTGTCTACAGTTTATACTATTGATATCGTCTCATATCCAACGAATAGAAAGAAATAAATAAAGATTGTTTAGTTTTGAGGGTCTGGGTATTAATTTGATTTTTACTTGTTCACTGGTCATTGAGAAATGGATGATGGCATGACATTAGAGAGAGAACACCAGATACTACTATATTGCCGTATGGAATCAATTAATTCCTTTCCTTTGTTATAAAAGAGTCAACAATAAGATAATTGTCCCATGATGAGAAAAAAGTTTTAGCTCTACCTTTCTTTTCATCATGGGACAATTATCTTATTGTTGACTCTTTTATAACAAAGGAAAGGAGTTAATTGATTTCATACGGCAATATAGTAGTATCTGGTGTTGTCTCTCTAATGTCATGCCATCATCCATTTCGCAATGAACAGTGAACAAGTAAAAATCAAATTAATACTCACACCCTCAAAACTAAACAATCTTTATTTATTTCTTTCTATTCATTGGATATGAGACGATATCAATAGTATAAACTGTAGACAAGTTGTACTACACAACCACACACCAATCATATATAGATACAATATCTATTAAATAAGAGTGGATAACTACATTTAGAAAAATTTTGAAAAAATAGTCAAAATTCAAGTTCTACTTTTAGTTGATGGGACTATAGTTGCGTTTTTGATTTGTCCTGTAAATCAGTTTTGGCTGTTTACTTCATTTTTTAAGTATGAATCCACGAACTCCACCAATTGGTAAAATTTGATTTTTTTTTGGTCAAGACCCAGTCCTTCGACACACTTTATATAAAAGGTATATGCGACACGAGTCTCATCAGCACTTACATTTATAAAAGGAGAAAGCTGCTTACGAAAATTGTGCTACCAAAGTTGTTGCTTTTTTAGTGTGAAAACCAGGCTATTGACTGAGTTTCTGACATTTTATAAAGCATTACTACATAGAATATTCAGAAAACAGTCATTGTTGCTGATTGAGGACGGAAATATTATCACCGGAAATCTCAAACTGTTTAGAATTGAATAGATTAAGAACAATATGCTGTTAACAAGATACTATCGACATATAAAAGACAGCATTGACAATTCTGCTTGTGTTTTGATTGATCCAAGGATATCAATCGATAGAGCTCGTCAAGTTGTACTTGGAACCGGTGTGGACCACTTGGAACACATTCCTGGACGAATATGGGAAGGTTTTAGTGACCATACACATAGTGAAAAGGTACTATTTTGGGATTTTCTCACGAATGGTTTGGATTATGGTTGATCCAAGGTTACCATTTGATAGAGCTCGTCGAGTTGTACTTGGAACCGGGCTGGAACACTTGGAACACGTTCCTGGACGAATATGGGAAGGTTTTACTCGAATATGGTGCTAACTTCACCTACGTAGTTCTCTGAAGAATTTTATTTTTGCAAAAATTGAACTCGAAAATCAATTTAGATGATGATCTTAGCAGGATCATAGGATTTAGCTGAAAAACTCACTTCACTGGCCATAACTCAAGAAGAAAACTTAATAAATGCCTTTGCTTTCAGGCTTTCTTTAGTCTCAAAATAGCCTACTTCATGAAGTAAGACTCATCTCAAAAACGATCTATCACTTTGTAAGATTTGTTTGAAACTAGAAAAAATACAATGCGAATTCCACTTCAACACTTGACAATTCGAATATCACAAAAACACATTAATCTACGAAATTTTTTTGAATACATTTGCTAATCATTTGAATAGTCAATGTCGCATCTACTAGACCTGAGCATGAGCTCTTTGATTTCACACTGGAACAAAACTTGTAATCAACTCCTATTAATATATCAATAGTATTGAAAACCTTTGGCATCATCATCCTGATCATATTTTCCTTCCTAAAACATAAAGTCCTTGTGAAATGTTGCTCGAATCATGTTTAATAATGCTAAAATATTTTTCTAAGAGCAATTGTTAGCAAAGAATGTTGAAGGATTGAACAAAAAAACTCAGTATTTCCATCGAAATCTCCAATGTTTGTTTAATGATGCTCATTGAAACAAGTACTGATCAATTGAGACTTCAATTTTGTACCGAACTAAACCAAGTAGAATACTA